CTACATATAACCGCCTCCCTGGGGGATGGACAGCGGAGAAGTGGGTGAAGGGAGACATCAGACGGTGTAAGATTTGACAAAATAATATTAATTTCTAAATTATCAAGGGTTCATTGGGGAGGGGGCAGCGGGCAGGGAGGGGAAAAGATGAGGAGCTGATACCAAGGGCTCGAGTAGAAAGCAAATGTTTTGAGAATGAGAGAAACAAATGTACAAAACTGCTTGACACAATGGATGTATGTGTGGATTGTGATGAGTTGCACAAGGCCCAAATAAAATAATTTAATTATTAAAAATAATAACAATAAATAAATAGACAGGTAGACAGATAGAGATATCCTTAAATAAGCTCAAAACTCACTGCCCTTCATTGATACCAACTCATAGCAGCCCTAAGAACAGGATAGGACAGCCCCAGCAGGCTTCCAAGACTGTAACTCTTTACAAGAGTAGTGTGTATCTATGAGAGTGGGCAGAGAGAGAGAGAGGGATGCAATTTCTTACATCTGGGAAGGTAAACCCATATAGGTACATAATTTGAGTGGTTATAAAGAAGTACTCCCTGTGATAAGGAATGTGATAAGGAAGGTGATAAGGGTGTTATGAGGAAAGGAAGTTTGAATTGTTCTGGGTGGGAGTGTTCTAGGTTTGCAATAGGAACAGAAGAAAACAGGGTGATCGCAAGCTTGTGCAAAGGTCAACTTAACTGCACAAATGTTCTCTTCTGTCCCCTGCAGCTGCTTAGAAAACCACATGCAGTGCAAACTGAAAGATAATGCAAGTCCCGCATTCTTTCTGTGTGACCGATAAACTGTACACCTGTAAAAGCTTGTCCCCAGTCCCAGCTCGCGGTCCACACCCGGCACTCGACAGTCAGGTGTGCGCCCTCAGTCTGGGTTTGGATCCAATACACCCCTTAAACTCTACTCAGTCTCTGCTCACTTTGTTCATTCAACGACCTGCTTACAACACCCCCCATTTGAGGAAGATGGGCAGAGCCCCATCTTCATTTCTGTCTAGTTGGGTGTGGAAGTCCCGATGAGGGTAATTTCACAAGACACTGGAAAGAACTTTTCCCTTGGACAGAAGGACCAAACAGCACAGAGATGTGATGATTTCCCAAACTGCCATGAGGATCTGATGCCAACAGACATGCCAGTGAAGCTTCCTCACTGACCTCGTGGGGGCCACCCTCCACTGTCACTAGCCCCTCCCGAGGCCCTCCCTGGCCATGGAGCTTAGCCAGACAAGGGCAGCGGGAGACACTGCCCAGCTGGATCCCAGCCAGAGTCCAGCCCAGTCCAGCCCAGGGGTGTCACATGGGGGCAGGACCAACAGTGTCTCAGGGAAGGGTGGGGGTGGGGGTTATACTGTGAGGCTGATAGTGCCTGAGAAATGGGGACACAGACCCCAGAGCCAACCTCTAGGCTCTGAAGTGACCTTTCTCTTGCCCACTGGCTTGAAAGGCATCCTTCCAAGGTGCTGATCTCCCAGAACCTCAGGCGGCCTCTGGAAGGGAAGTGGAGAAAGTTGTGGGCCATGAACTCAAGTGTCCCAGGGTATTCCAACCAGGGAATGCCTCCCAGGGAACACCCAGTCCTGGCAGGCTATCCATTTCATCACACTTAACTCAGCCTTTTCCCAGTGTCCTAGTAGGAGCTGTGGTGATACTGTGGGGGTAGCATTGCACTATGAACCATAAGGTCAGAGGTTCTATCCCACTAGCCACTCTGAGGGAGAAAGAGGAGGCTCTCTGGACCCATAG